CTCTTTCTAATAAGGTTGGTGTATCCCACCAACATGCTTCTTTCCCGAAACCTATTTCACAAGCAATTTCATAATGTTCATAATGTTCATAATGTAATGTTCTCATATCTGTCTGACACATTGCCAGTGATACTGAAATAGCATCCCTTTGTCTTCAATAAACTTTGCAATGGACAAGTTCACAAGCCTGATTCAATGTCCACTGTATGAATATGAAAGGAGATAGGGATGGGTCTTAAATATGTATTTTGTTGGATATTGCTTTGACATGTAAAATATAAAGGCTGTGAGAATAACAAGGCCTTTCATGTCTTTGGCCAGCTGGGATTTAGCATATGTCTTTTAAAATTGCCCCTCTCCTATGAACACATGTAAGTTTGCAAGCCAGGAAATAATAAAGAGATAATTATTCATCTGAGTATTTATACTTCTGCTGATATTATTGTTTTTATTTTTACCGAGCACAGCTTACTTTGGACCTGGCTAGTATTTGGAAGCTCTCCATCCCAAAATCTAGTATCCAAAACAGGAAGCAGCTTTGACAGGCGCATGCAATACTATAGGCAAACACAAAACAATATCATAAATGTTTGGCTCTGGACCAGCTTTGTATGTGGTGTTGAAACATTTGGTATTCTGCTTAAGATTTCTGCAAGGAAACATCTGTGAGATTCTGCGGCAGGCAGCACAAAACGTTTGATCAATCTTTGTTCATCTAGAAAGGCATTGAGAAGGCTTCATTCAGTCCCAACTGCAAAGTGAGAATGAGCCTCATTATTCCAACACGGAAAGCGCAAGTACTGATAGCCTCAAACAGTGCTCTGCCAAGTAGTGGTGACACAGTGCCCAGGCAGTTAAAATGGGCAGGGACAATCCTGTTGTGTCCCTGCTGGACCACAGACCGTGGTCATGAGGAGGTCTATATCTAACACACTTCCCTTCCATCTTCTGGGGAAGTTCTACAGCTTTATGTTTTTTCTTGGTCTGCATCTTCAGTGGAGGACCCTTAATAAGGTGTAAGGCTTTCATGCTGATATGTCTACGTAACATACTGTCTTAGTATCAGGCTTTTTGGAGAGCTTATGGCAGAAAGTGCAGGGGTTAATCTCTGTTTACTCCAGGGCAGTGTGTTTACGCCTCAGTTGTTTACCTCAGTGCAGTTATGATATCAACAAAAGCCTTAGAGTGCAGATGGCCTCAGTCGCATTATGCCCGGCTTCGGTCACTGAACCATTTGCTGTAATGGTGTGCCCTTTGCTGTAAAACAGTGAAGAAGCTAGAAACCCATAGGATAGAACAGAAAGGTGCCTCCTACAGAAAAACGCTGCCGTGGTGAGCAGAGGCAGGTCGTCTAAGGTAGCAGCCACAACGCTGAGTCAACAGATTGTGGCTTAGGGACAGGTCAGATGGACAAATGTGAGTGAACGCTGCCTACATTCAGAGAGGGCCGAGGTAAGCCAGCTACATCCTAGGAACCAAAATGCTGGGAAACAACTAATATAGATACATGGCTCCTGGAAGAGAACAGGCTCATGTCCTATCCCATTGAGTGTGGATCCCACTGAAGAATGCTGGTACAGAGTAAAGAGTTGCTGTAGTGTTTTAGGCACGTGGTCCATAATCCAAGCCTTTCTATCTGAACCTCTGACTTCTGAGTCAGAGCCTTGTATTTTGCTCTTAGTTAATATTATCATAGTTTTTCAGATCATTTTTTGTGGAAGAAGGAAGAAGGAGGAGCAATACAACCATTGGGGAGATTCTCCTTCATCGTCCCTAGAAATCTGCATCCTAAAGCAACAACATTTGGTTGTAGGTAGAATGAGGGATCTAGGTGCTCTCTGCCTTGCTAAGAACTGGTTTAAACTTTCTAATTCCTGCATCCTGCAAGAGTGCCTGGAAGCTAAGTTCTTGGTGACCTTCAGATCTGCTACCACACAGAGGTGATAGTTGCTTGTGAAGGTCCTTCACTGGACTAGCAGGGAAGTGAAGCATATTGCATCCCAGATTATTCCTGCTTCATTTTCAGGCAGTTCACATTTCTCTTCCTCAGGAACTGCTGGATGAGAGAAAAATCACAACAACTATTCAAATGTTTTATTACATGTTAGGACATAAATACAAGCATCGTCCAGTTTTCACGCAGGAAACAGCACAAACATGTGGCTAGCACCTGGTGATTTCTGCAGGCCTTAAGAGCAGTCAGACGCTGTAAAACATCATAAAACAAAACTGCAGTGGATTTGAAGATTTCATGGACAACTCCTTGCTTCATTCTTAAGAATCCTATCCAGAAGCACTCACTGGCTTCCCTCTGTTCTGTGGTCTCTACTCCTGCTTTTACATGCTGTCGAGTAATACAGTGCATGAGTTACAGACATTAGGTGACTCCAGTCATTCTTTTGGAGACTCTAGTACCTAGTTCCAGTCAGTTCATCCAGCTGGAGAATCCACTATACGATCTGTTCTAAAGATTTACGCTTTCCTGTGGTTCTGCACTTTGCCTGTACTGCTCACGGTACACAGTGTTCCCTTTGCTCTATGCAAGAAAAATGGACTGTTGTTAATTCCTCGGAAATAATATACTTGCTTGAAAACATTGCCCCATAAGCCTCTTCTCTCCTTCCCAGTGTTCACTGCTACTTACCAAAGTCATACCCTGGTACAGCGCAGAACATGCCGAAGGTCTGTGTTAGCCCACAGTGATTTCTCAGAAGTTTGTTGAGGTAGGCACATGCTCCGATCTGTTGGGAAGGAAGACAATGCGGTTTGGTTCCGGTGTGTCCATTCACCCGTGCTCTAGTGCATTTCTACTTCCTGATCCAACCTAGCATGCTGGGCCAGTTGAACGAGCATTTGCCTTTGCCGTATGTGGTTTCTCTGGAAGGAAAGGTTCTCCGAGAGCACCGTGGTGGAAAGCAGGCAGCAGTGTGCAAAAGAATGCTATGCTCACCACTGGCTGTTGGCAGACCACCCAGGCACAGGAATGGAGTCAAATTCCCCACTTCCTTTGGAAGACTTGATGGATTTTTCATGATCAAGAGGCTCTTTTTTGGAAAATCTTTTGTTTTATAAGTGAATTTAGCTGTCAATCCAAGGGCATTTCTTTTTACCTGCAAAACAGATCCAGAGCAGACCATAACTCTGACTGCTTCCCACATCCTTGGGAAGACAAATAATTCAGTTTTAGTGGCTTATGCAGTGCCTGAATTTAGTGCCTATCAATGTGGAGACTGTCGTAGGAGCATAGCATTTGAGTATGAGATATTTAGGATAGTACTTGTTGTGAAAGAGCATGTGAACGTGCACACGACTACCGTGTCTCAGGTAGTGCTTCTTGGTATTAATGCAACAACAATACAGTGTAGATTTCCCCCTATTTTTACAAAGTGCAAAAAGGAAATACATACAGCCAGGAGACTCTTCATCGCTATTACTAAGATAGTGTATGCAATCAAATAATTCCACAGCCTAAGAATATTCTTGACTGGCTCGAGTAGAAGACCGCTTCCAAAAAGCGTGAAGTAGAAACAAGCTATTGGATAGCCCAGACAAAAGATGTTGATTTGAGTTGTCCCAGTGAAAAAATCAGGCAGAGCACAAACCAGAAGTGAGAGTCAAACACAACCATTTTAACCATATCTAGATAGGACCTGCAGGGGAGAAACCACTGCAGAAAATGAAATTTCAGAGCATTGCAGGGAATTCGGTCTATTGTTCTATGAGCTACACGTTAAGATCGAAATTTGGATAATGTATCTTTTGAAGTACCATTGAGGATTCTTTAGCAACCCATTTTCTGATGCTGTGGCTTCGCATAATTAGATGGTATTTTAAAAGCTATTTCCAAACTGTGTCAGACACAGGCACCGTATTGGATTGTTAATACTAGGACTGGTCTGGAAGGGGAGCGGCAACCATAGGTTTGTTTATTATTTGAAGGGAGAACATTTGTCAGATGGTAGAGCAAACTGTCAGGAGAAATGAGAGCTTCTCCTAATTTCTTCAGACTAAGAGTAGATGTTGAAGATATGATTTAGTCAAACATAAGGTAACACAAGGTAAATTGCAGTCAGTTCTTGATTTTTCCAGAAAATGATGAAAAATAGAATACCCAAGATCAATGAAAAAAACACAAACCCACAAAACATTTGCAAAATTAGCCTAAGGAACGTATTATAAGAGAGTAAGGGAAGAAATAAAAGTCAGCGCTCACATGTGCAGTGCAGAACAGCAGTCTCAGTTAGTCCTGGCTGAGGTGGTAGCATTTGCAAATGCCTTTCTCTTTTGTAATCTCCTGAACCAATATCAAAAGATCCTGCGTTTCCACCTGTTATAGCTCCCTGGCTCTTACCTGCAAGGTATAAAGTTTGGCACAAGACTGTACTGGCTGAGGGCAGCTGGATCTAAATCATGACTGATCTCCACGTTATCTCCTGCCTGCATTCTCGCACAGGCTTTGTTCTCGTCCTCAAATACTTGCCACTGGAGGGAGGCAGAAAGCAGAAGTAGGAAGTCGTCTGGAAAGACAGAAGAGCCAGAAAAATTACAGCAGTCATAATTTAGCTTTAACTATAGCATTGCTTTAGCTGATTCATACTTACACAGGAGAAAGCTAGCATCAGATCTCTTCTCAAAATCTGGCAGATAGAGCCATTTAATCAGATTGGAATGGATTGACCAGTGAGAGGTCCTCCACGGATAATCTGTTAACAGAAGAGTTACATTCATCACATATAATGCCTCAAGCTATTTTCTGTGCTTTTGCTGTAGAAACACAGACATTTCTCCAGAGGATAACGACATGTCTGGAGAGACATGCAGAGGTGATGTTGTTGCTGCCCATAAAAATGCACCTTCTCCGTGCTCTAACCTCAGTGGTAAATGATGGGAGTGGTTATGTGAGCCGACTTCAGCCCTAGGAAAAGACAACAGGAGACTTTTTAACAGGAGATGGATGTTTACAACTGCATACCTTGCATGTGGTTCACTGCTTAGCAACTGGTGGTTTGGAGATATAATAGCAGAAGCTCATCAGGGTCAATTCCAAGATGATTTCTGATCTCATCATTAGTCAGAATTAGCGGAACTCTGCTAGGTGCTAAGTGAACTCTGAAATACTTCCCTCCCCCCCACCCTTTTTTTTTCTTGTTTTAGATATTTAATTCCAGTGGCTGCCCTCTTCTTCCACTCCCTAGGCTCTGCAAGACAATACTGGAACATGGCTTCTGGACCGCTCACAGGCAGGGAGAGGACATGGGAAGCCAGCTATGCCAGAGGAGGAACTCATTCCTACTCTCTTCATTTTGCTGCGTCCTTTAGAAAGGGATGGAGGGAGAAACTAAGCTGGGAGAGAATGAAAAAGGTACAAATGGGAGAATGATTTACAGCCATGATCATTGTTTTATTACACTTTGGCCTAGAGGTTCTCAAAATGCACTGCATGTCATTTGCCTCCAGCAAAATGTAGCGTGCAATGAGACTTAATTGTGGCCATAAAGTTGTCAGAAGCATGAATACGTTGTGTTATAGATTCACTTTTATATGTGAGTCTCAGCCTCACATGTTAGCAGTTGGCTCTCTCTGAGCAAAAATTTAGGAACTTTCAATTTGCATAGCTATTTTCTACCTTAAAGAATTAATGTCTCTTTAGATATGGAGTATCTTAAGATGCAGTAGAGAAAGGGCGGGGAGGCTGTTTGAAAAGGAATAAAGAGAAAGAGCATGTCTTCCAGAGCATGACCAGAATTTGGTGATTATTGTGCAGATTAAAGTTGATCACTGCTTTTCTGATTGTTGGACAGATAACAGACAAGCCTTGAGAAAATAGCTTTAGTGACCTGAGGCTTGGAGAACTGTTTGCATCCACTTGTGGGTGAGATGGCCCTCACTAGCCTCCTGCTGATCTTGAAAGAGCATCCCGTAAGAGTTTAATGATGCAAAGGACAGTAAATGATGCTATTGACATGAATCCCACCTCCCACTCTTTTTGCTGTGCAAGTGGTCTTCCCTGGCAGAGCTGGAAGGGGAGTAACCCTCGAGCCCTCCACTGCCGTGCTTTGGCCAGTTCTTCCACAGGTCTTTTCTGTGTTCTCAGTTTTTCAAACCTAGAAACTGCACTGCACAATCCTTTGCAGAAAGCAAGAGGGAGGCCAAGACACAGCAAGTACTGGAAAACCATCACAGTGGCAAGGAAACAGCAGTATCTTGGCCAGACTTCAGCCACTGCTTTTCTTCTCTGGCGCCACAGCAGATGGATTACCCAACATACATGGAGCAGTGCGTAGAAATCCATACAGTGCCGTATAACATTAATGGCAGCAACGAGACACATCTGAAAGGATATAGCAATCCAAGTCAGAAAGAAGGCATGGCTTTGTAGATTACAATCTACTGTCCTTTAGAAAAATTATCCTGACTTGGCTTACAGTCTCCTGACTGCAGCTTGAGAGGAGTTTTTAAGAGACACTTAAAAAAACAAACCACTCCATCTGGAATAAGAGCGTCTATGCTTGGAGTTTACTTGTATAAGCACAGTGATGTAACTATGGAGATAAAACATAACTGTATTAGTGAGGTCTGTGCTTATACACATCATAAAGCAATGTTCTTTAGGGAGTGAAGAAAACTCTGTTCTCCTGTGCAAGTGGGTGACAGTCCTGATAACAGATCAGCAACTCTAATACCTCAGTCCTCCTTCTGACATGTCTTGTGGGAGTAAGAAATGCAACCATCAGAACCCATACCCAGAGCCGATATCTCTAGCGCCATACTAGGGAGAGAGCAAGGGAAGAGAAGACATTTGTATGTTGGTGCTGTTGTGTATTCTCATAGCAGTAGAGAATTTAACTTCTGTTTAACGGAGTTTACTATGGGGATTTTAATGCCTCAGTGAACTGTTGCTGGTGCCTGCATTCCAAGAAGATTCCTTCTCTCCTCATATTTCCTCACCTCCAATCCAAATTTGTAAAAACTGCAGTTGACAAAATACTTGACGCAGCTGAGCAACCTATCATCCAAGTGCTCCTGAGTAATGCTGCCAAATATGACCCCTGTCGTGCGTGGTGGCAGCTGGTTTTGAACACGGTAGAAAAACTGATGGCGAGACACTGTCGTCTCCATTGCCGTTGGCCCCAAAATAATCAGGTAATTCTACAAGATCAGCATGAAATGGTCTCACTGCCAAAATATGGCACTAAGCAGGAATAACTTAGAAAGGTGAGAACAGACAGTCAAAACTCACAGCATCTAAAATATTGTTCTGCGCTTTTTTCTGTCAGGAAACAACACTGTGAACATTTACAGCTCTCTGTAGATGATTTTAGGAATACGAGTACAGTGAGAATTGAATGACCCGTAGTCCGTTTCTAGCCTGGAACACTGCAGTGTCATGAAGTGGGAAAGATTCTCCTCATAGCACTGCAGTAACGACAGTAACGGATTTGGGCCACTGGTAATTTCAAGGGATAATGTTTCGGAGTTATCTAACTCCAGATCTCAGTGGGAGAGGGCCTGAAGCAAAGTCAGAAAAAGACTAAGAATGAAAATAGATGAGAAAATATTACTTGTTTCACAAATCTCCTCTTCCATTTATTGTCACAAAGATATAAACAGGATTTTTATTTTAAAGACATTTTTTGTACCCGTGTTTATCCCTGTTAAAGCCATGCAAATACTGGATTATTTAGCCTACTATCTGAATCAGAAATCTTGTAATGATTTCTAGCTGACATTAAAGTTCCAGCTCTCTTTAAAAGAGAAATGCAAGAAAAAATGAAAAAATGAAAGATCCTGCAACTGTGTTTTCCAAAAAAAAAAAAAAAGTCAATGCAAATCCTGCTAAGTTGCAAGTACTTCCTTCTCTTTGTAAACATTGAAGTCAGCAGAGCTTGGTACTACTTGAAATTCTTCTATTTTTCCACTAATCATTTGATTATTAAAATAAGGCTTCTACCTTGAGGCAGGGTAAAACACTGTCATCACACTTCCGGAGCCCTCCCCACCAGTTTGCAGGATCAATAGGGGCATCTTACAGTGCAGATTTCTGCAACAGCTTGCCCAGGCTGGCATGAGGGTACGTCATGTTTTGGTAAAGCCCCTGCAGAGATACAAACGGACCACACTTGAATTCCGGTTTCAGGAACAAACTCCTCCAATACAGTAGGAATGCACAAATTCCAGTAGTTCTGCCAGATTTCAAGTGTTTGTGTTTGTACCAATTTATCCCACACATTTGAGCAGGTCCTCTCCTAGATAGGGATTTTTTTCTTTTTTTTTTTTTTCCTGAGTAATGCCATCCCAAGGGTGCTTGGTGTTTTCTTCTTGCGCAACACTGTTCAAAACTCTCTGCCATCAGCTACTTGACACTATGGTCTTATGAAAAGCTCCCTTTTTATGCTAAGTGAGTAATGATTGCTTGATATAGAAAATGAAGTCAGGCCCTATGTCTACTGTGCTTGCTTTGCTGTTTCATTCATCACCTCAGCTAAGTTATTTATTCATGGCACCAGCTGTCTGACTTTGTAGCTCTAGTTATAGTGAGATATCTGTCCTGTGTCTGTCACTACGACAGGGTGACTGCCACTTTATGACTTGCAGGGCCTAGAGGCCCCATCTAAGCCCTGTTCCGTGGTGATGTACTTTTAAGATTTTAGGAGCGGGTGAGGATCAAGAAATAAGTGGAGTCAGTCTGGAAAGAAAGCTGCGAAAGGTGGTAATGCTTTGGAGAAGAGGAAGAAATCATGTCAAGGAGTGGGAAGGCACGCTCTCTCCCATGCAACCAGCATAAATGCTGGGAGCATGACGGTAGATACATCTGGTGTGACAAGGGAGCAGGTAGCCTGAGAATTTGCTAGATCTGGAGAAGGTTGGATAAGTTGAGCACCTGACACAGGACCTGTGCTGGGGTGGAGCAAAGTGGGAGAGGTTGGGAACCAGGTGAAGTGCTATTAAGGGTGAGCTTATTAGCCAGGTGCTTGTGGGATTAACTGAAGATATGAGGTAGTGTCTGTTTAGAGATTTCTCTTCTCTCTTTCTCTTTCTTCACTTAAGGTTCCCAAGTTATCTCATAGATCTTTGTATGTAAAGGAAAAAAAAATCCTAAAAATATGAACTATACTTCTAAAATGAAGGTAGAGTGGAGTATCTGATTCTTGTAGTTTGAGAATCTTTACAGGAAGCAAGTTTTAAAAGATTTTTCACTTGTTTCTTCTACATACTGTTCTTTTACCAACTACAAATTTACAACGGTCTCTGTAGGAAAGTTTGCCTTTGAGAGCTTTACCTGTCTGCTTAATCTTGTCCTGGTATGAGTTATTCAAGAAAATGCTGAATATGGAGAAAAATGCTATTTACTTGTAATTTGTTAGATGTTGGATGAATGTGCAGTGTTGTTTATGACAACGATAGTTGCAGCTATGATGGTTTCTTTTATTTATACCTATGTTTGTCATCAAAAAAAAATTGAAACTTTTACATAGGATACAGCTTAAGGTTAGCTAAAACTAGGAAAAAAAAATTACCTCAAAAATTCAGGGACTAGTAACTTGCAGTTATGTTACTGTCCTTCTACTTGTCACAGTGGAAAGCCCATGTGTCAGGCAGGTGTGCAACTGCAGGGTTCTAAGCAACTCAAGAAAAGTAGCCCATGTCTTACCACCAGTTAGTCTTACATTATTGTGAGTTGCTCCTATCTGATGCGCATCAAGTATGGCCTAACTTCATAATTCTGTAGTACTAAAGGCCTTGATCCTGAAAATATCTGTGTCTGTGACTAATGATCTGTGATTGGCTAAAGTACACTCACAGTCCTTGAACCACTATCTGAGTAATTAAAAACCTCACCTCTGTGCAGTTTGAGGCATAATCCTGTGGTTTGACAAACTTCAGTTGATATATCATTTTGCAGATGACCACAACACAAGACCAGATGGTGCAGATCCTTGATGTGTGAGGATGGAGCCTGGGATACGGTAGAGTAAACACCTAGAGGCTGAAAAAGGATAATTCATCAAGGAGATCTAAAATCATTGTAGATGCAAAGTCTAAATTTCTAGCAAAACTTATTATTTTTACACCCTTCCTGCCCTCCTACCCTCTTTGTATGGAATAAACATCTAAATCATTAGACAAAACAAAAAACTGTTTTGAGATTTAAAGTTGATACCACTGGGCAGAAAGTGGGCAATATTTTTCATAAGAATTGGAACAAAAAGTCATGAAGCTTATGTTTTAGGGGAAGAAGGAGAAAGATGGAGCCTCTGCTTCTTTGTTATATGCTTTCTTTGTGATCTGGAAGACCAGGTAGCGGTCCTAAACCTGACTATAACTTGTTATGAATACTGATCTAGGCATGATTTTGGCCTGTCATAATGCCAGGAAAGAAGCTTACAAGAAATAATTAGTACCGACCTCTTGAGAGTGATCCAAACAATCCAAGTGGAGACAACTTTAAGGAAATGCAGTTCTAAGAGTCTCTATGCTAATATCAGAGTTTCATGAACAAGTTCCAAAAGCTTCAGGAGAAGAAAAGCCAATTTGTTGATAGCTAGTGTCCAATTGCTAGACTCTTTTGCTATGAAAAAGAAATGCTGGTTTCGTGCTTTAACGTAGCCTTTGCCTCAAGTTTTTTGAGTTTCCCTTTCCCCTGGGTGAGTTGTGGGTTCCTAACTTATCCTAATCTCCTAGCATGTCAGAAGGGAGGACAGCTTAAGCAGTAGCATGATGGAAAATGACTTGTAGAATTAGAGAAACTGGGGACCAGTTACGCATTCTTGATCTGGCTTTATGATACTGCCATACAGTAAAGTGTATGAGTAAAGTATGAGTGGTCTGAGTAAAACTTGTGAAATAATTTCCAATATCTGACTATCTCACTTGATTTGTCCTGTATGTCAGCTAATGAAGGCTTTTTGTCCTGTATTTCTGGAATTTGAGACTGGAGGTTTCTAGTCTTGATCCAAATAAGCTATATACTAACTTTGCTCTCTAGTTTCCTTTAGATTTTCTCTTTGGGGAGAGCAGGGAATTCATCTGTGTCTAGCTGAGAGCAGGAGGTGCCGTGCTGGATACTGACAGTGAGTAACATCAGAGCGCAAACATCCTTCCTTGTACTGTGGTGTGATCTCCAATAAATGCATTTGCCTAAACGCTTCTACTCCCATCCCTCATGACCCTCAGCTGTGTTCAGAACCAGGGATAATTGGAGATATGAAGTCTCAGCAGTGCTTTAAACTGGAGTGAAACCCACTCAATTTGCAGTGCAGACTGATAAAATTATTAATTTCTTTATAATCCCCTCAATCCCTTTCCATAATTCTTAACAGAGGTCAGACAGGTTCTTTCATGCTACTTACGGTCACTCGTTTGACACTCCAAGAACTTCCAGTTTTTTCACCTGATTTTTCCTGCTCAGTCATTCCCGTGGCTTCATCCAGTGTTGCATCTTCTATTTTATCCAAAGATGTCTGACTAATACCATGTGGCTTATTGGCTGCTAGCCTGTCAGGAAAGGGGGCGGGGGGGAAAAAGGCATTGTTCTGTTTTGTTTGGTGAGACAAAGCTGGGTATAATCTGAAACTAGGATACTTGAAGACCATTTGAAGTTGTTTGCAGCTAAACTGAAATGGAGTGCATCGCTCCGTTCAGTTATATGCTTTTCCTGTACATATCATTTCTCTTCAATAAGGATTTGGGGGTGGGGGGAGCTAGCCCCTCTAAAACTGGTAGAGGGAAAAGACTGCCACTGGCTGTCTTGGGCACAAAGTAACCATGCACCATTGATACATATTCCATCCTCTGCATGATGTGATTTATTAAATTGTAAAATGAGCCATTGAATATGCAATTAGAACTAATTAGTTTCGTATTCAGACTGAAAATTACCGTCAAATTGCAAAATATTTCCCCTTGCTTCAAGGGTGAGCTAAATTTATGTATTTTCTGGGCACTATTAGCAAAGCAAATCCTAGTACAAGTCTACAGAGAAATGTCATTTTCTTTCATTTCGTTCTCACCTTTTTTTGCAGCCTCCAGATACTTTCTTTAAGCCTGGAGAATAAGAACCAGAAACATTTAGCATCAGATATGGATTATATCCTCCTACTCCTCAACAGAGGCTTACA